CTTCATATTGTTCATTTTGATGTTAGACATTGCTTTTAATATTTTTAATATTTTCCCTATGCAACAAAATACAAAAGCTTCTGAGGTTTCTTGTCTTTTTTTTTGTGTTTTTCATATTGTGTGCTGTGGGTCCCACATGGTTGATTTTTGTTTTGTTGGTGTGGGGTTGCATGTTTCCGCATATCTGCTATTAGTGTTGTATATATTACCTATGTTATTATTTTAATTAATGTAAAAAATGAATGAGAATGAAATTTGTAACCAAACAAGTTAAAATTTACTTCATTCTTGCTATAAAAAGAATACATTTTTTAGAAAAAGGGCATTTGGTTCTTAGCAATATCTTCTCATTCTACCCATTTATACTAATTCTTTTCCATCTTATAATTTCATATTGGGTAAGAATGAAAAAGAATGAGAGTTGAACCAAACATGGCCTAAATTTCCACACGTACAGAACCATGATAAGCATGGCTAATTGGTTCCATAGGCTGTTGGTTTCATCAAAAAGGATTTTTCTCTAGAATCTTGGATGCACACCATAGTATATAGAGATCAAATTATCAATGTGAAGAAGGCGTTGTGAAATCCCATTTTTTTGGTCCTTGATCATCCAGTGTAAGCCTTAATGCTGTTCCATTGGACGTTGTATTTCCAATTTTTGATCATCTTTATCTGCACCATGCATCTTTTTAGTTCTTCAGGTATATATTCTTTTAAATAAATCCTATTTAATAGTAACCACTATTTCTTGTTTGGAGTTTACCAAGAATTGACGGCCCAACTTTTTCAATATATCAACCTCATCTGGAAGCATATGTAGAGATTGATCTGATGAAGCCCAGGAGAGATGAAATATGACTTTGGATGGAGGGAGAAATCTTCCTATTTTACGACAATGTTTCAAAATCTAGTCTATGCTATAGAAAGAAGTTATGTTTCAATGATGTTCTTGATCACCAATCACTTATTCCAGTCTGTCCTTTTCCACTTCAACCCTATTATCACCACATTAATCTCAACACTTATCACCACATTAATCTTTATATCAATTCTTACTCTCTCTCTCCTCCAATCTATTGATGTAATAATGGGCAGAATTAATTATCAAAAAAAAAGGGCAGAATCTTTGCACGTATGTAATAATTCCCAATCTTTAGCTATTTCACTTCTTTTGAATATAGCGATTGACTTGAGAGGATTTTATGTGCATATATGACTTTTGACCTTGGAGATGAGCTATTCTACATATTTGTAGTTTGCACCCTGATGCAGGAGATACTGTGATGGAATTAGGCAACAAAGCCAGGCTTGGCTACTTGAAAGTGGCAGCAGGGAGACTATTGTCAAGGACAAGTATGGGGAATCCATGGGGGAGAAGACACCTTTGGTCTACTATCATAGGTCGAAGAAAATCCAGAAAACCAATTTGGTCATGCATGAGTAATGGGTTCAAACTCCTAAAAGAGATAAAGCCTTCATACCATAATAGATCTAGGTAGACGGAGTGGAGGTATGGATAATCCATTTTGTTTCCTTTCATTTCATGCTTCTTGGATTTTCTCAACAAGGTTGACTTGATTTTTGGCTGTAATGAGCTTATGATAACTATTTTTCCTTTTGCAGTTTGATGGTTGGGTACTTTGCTGTATTTATTTGGGAATGAGGTATGAAGCAATATGATGTAGTCCCTATTTTATACGAGTGAGATTGAGGGAGGAAGGTGGTGTAAATTTTGCTTCATTTTTTAAGATGCAAAATTTACACTCTTGTCAGTGAGTGTGAATGAGGCTTTTGAACAAAATTTGTATTGGGTAGAAGTACAAAATCATAGTTACAAACAAACAGATGCAAACCTAATCTGGGTGCAAAATTTGTATCAGGTTCAGATTTGCACGAGAACCAAATTCAGCCTAAGAGAAACAAAGCCTTTGTTTATTTGTAGGGAAAATACATAAAAATATTACAAATGGAAAGGGTTACAAATTTTGGTTCAGATTTTACTTCTGTTTTTCTGGAAAGAGTAAAATGAGAAGTAAAACAATGTGACCCCCACTTTATATGAAAGAAGATGAAGTTGGGAGACAAAAAATTACAGTAAAAAATGCAAAAACGTGTCAAAGTGCAAAATTTACCCCAGATAGGGGTGTAAATCTAAGCCGGGTTACACAGTTTTGTTCGTTATACAGGGCCAATATTATGTGGTCACTGGCAGTTCTGTTCTATCGGTTCCTGTCATCCACAACGACTTAAATGATCGATCACCATAAACTTAATTTGGTGGAGGTATACTTGTACAGGATTCTGTGTCGGTAGTTGTGTGGTTTAATAATGTTCAGTGACTAAGAACACTAGTCATTTTGCGTTGGGCTAGTTGTTCTCTACTGCTCCAAGGGCCATTCATAAGGGGGCACCATTGATAGTAACAACCCTTGTTCCATTATGCTATAAAGGCTGCGTTTGGTTGTAATGCAAACGCAAATATGTACACTACATATTTACTCATTTTTCGGTTTATGAATGTAAACACGGTTCACATTTTAAACCGTTTTTGCATTCATCTTGTTTGGTTAAAATCGGTGTAAAAGTGTGGGCCCGTAATTAAATGCTTCAACTATTTTATGCTCTAATGTCATAACTTTGGTCAAAAAGTTAATTATCAAAAGAACACAAAATTGTATCCAAAAAATAGGTACAGTAATGCTCTTTTTTCAGAGTACAAAAATGTCAGAAAATACATTTTTACGTATCAAACAAACACTTGCAAACGTGAACCGGGGTACATAAATACCCCGGTCCGGCGTTTGTATTGCAAGCCAAAGAGGAAAAGACTAGGGTGTACTACGTTTGTCCATAACAAGCTACATATCTAGTAATATATATATATATAGATATAGATATAGATATAGATATAGATATAGATATAGATATAGATATAGATATAGATATAGATAGATAGATAGATAGGAGTTGAGATCTACCAACAAAACACGTTCCATCCCTCACCAATCTCATGGTGAGAAGTGTTGTTAGAGGGTTGGAACATATTTTATTGGCAGGTGATCCAGACTTGCTAGAGAGACTGTGTGTCAGTATAACTGTTAAATATCCACAGCCAAAGTTCGTTCACTCTAAAGATCATTTCTTGAAGCACTCTGAATCTGCTGCTAACAGTGTGGCTATATAACCAATGAGTAGTGATGTTCTGTACGCATTGAATCTATGTTTGTATATTAGTGTATGGAACATTGTCGTATTTACTTGTGAGTGGTTAGTAGCCCCTTATATGCAGCTGATTCCAACTCTTCTTAATGCTGTATTTGGTTGCCTTGTAATTTTATTTGCACTAGTACAAATGTATGAGAGTGCAAATGAAAAAAATGCAAATTTTGATTTAATTTTGTTTTAGATTTTATTTATTCTGTTTTAGGTCTTATTTTACTTGATTTTTAATGCAACCAAACAAAGTAGGATAAAATTTGAAACAAAAATAAATCAAAACTTACAGCTAAATCATTTGCACTATCATARTTTTGCATCATTACAAATGAATTTGCACTGCAACCAAAGTCTAAGAAACACCAGCCTGGGTTGTTGGCATGACATGTCAACCCATATTCAGTCCCCTACTTGTCTTTTTGATAAAGGGAAAGTTTAATTACTCTTTTACTCATATTCAGTCCCCTACTTGTATTTTGATCAAAGGGAACATTGAGTTTCATTACTCTTTTATCCCGCACCTATGATAACGTGTCATGTCCAAGAACATTTCCAACAGCCCAGGCTGCTTGGTCCCCCAACAGCTAGTCTTTTTTCTTTTGACGTTGATCCCTATGTCTTTTCCTCCATTTTTAATTTTTTTTTTGACATCTATCTGTCCACCATTCTAGATAATTACCTATTGTAGAAGGAAATAGATATTTAGTCACACCAAGTGTAAAAGTTCAGCTATCCAAGCATGGTGGTTGATCGATCCATGACCTCTTTGGAAGAGGAAGAGGGCAGGGGTCGGCATCAATGAGTCATTTGTCTATTCAATCGGATTAGTTGAATGTGATGGCTGTTTAGTGCGCTGCATAATTATTGATATCGTCCCATGTCAAATTGTCAACCATATATGTTAAGTGAGAGATTGAATGATTGTCACCCCCATGTATTTATAACTGGTGTAGAGCATTATCATTGGTTTTACAGCCCACTGATGAACAGTTGTGTTCAGCTAATTTGATATGGGTCTATCTAACCCAAATCTAGTCCAACCCTGATTGAAAGAGAGAGGAGGGAGTGAGGGTGAGGAAAAATGTTGGCCACCCACAGAAGCGTGGGAACACATTGAAATAGGCCATTAGGCTTGATCAAAATACCATGTAAAAATCTCAAATAAGGTAGATAGAATTGCATTTTTCACAAATCTTACCTTACTAATCAAACACAGGCTCTCTTAATCCTTGTCTTATCACATTTTAACCACCAAATCCTATCTCATTAAGGGGCCCCGGGGGGGGGGGGGGGAGGGGGGTCAATGTGGAACGCAACCCATTTCATTCAATGAATTGTCAACCCATATACAACTTCACCAAATAGATAGGTGGGTTTGGTTAGATAGATGAGTCAAGTTGGTTGGGTGAGAAATTGCCAAACCTATATAATTTGTAGTACAGTACACTGTTAGGTAAAAAAAATATTGATCAGTTTCTGCCATGAGGAGGGTTGAAATAATAGTGAGTCTAATTGTATGATGTCGTTGACAATCGAACCAATCATCTCTAGTTAGAAAATTGAGTGAAATAATAGTCAGTCCAATTGAATAATATCGTTGACAATTGAATCAATTAGATATTGTATTTATGGATCAAAATGATATACTTGATCTAGCCAGTTTTTTTTTTTTTTTTTGGTTGTAGAAAATAGAGATATCCAGAGAGAGAGAGAGAGCACCGACACCAACTTGTGGGTCCAAATTCTTTGGTAATTAGGTGAACAATTTCAGTTCCTCAATCTTGTAACAAGAACAAAAAACTGCATCATATTGAGTTGTTCATCATTTATTAGATGCTCCATATGCTTGTGTACAGTGACACAGTATATGGTAACTTAAACAAGTCTTATTGTAAGACTTCTGAATATACTGATGAGCATAATCAAACAAAAGAAAGGAAAAATGATACAGATTGGGAAATTAGTCGAGGCTATCTGCCCTTGAGGAAGCTTCTACAGATCTTCTCCCAAGTCTTCCTATCAGGTTCAGCTACTTTCATTCTTGATTTGGTTTGTTGGGCGAATTGTTTCTGCAGGTAATTAGTTGGTCTGAGATTAGATGACTGAAGAAGCAGTTTCTTAATGAGCAAATTGATAAACTACATATAAAGAAATTAATGAAGCAGTTACCTCTATGGTGTTATTGTTGGCAAGACGATCAATGAGGTTATATAGAATGTCTTTGGAGTACTCAGGGTGGCCTTGAATTCCCAAAATGTGTTCTCCGAGGCTGAACATCTCTACTCCTGTCTTCTCTGATGATGCAATGACCTCAGCTCCTACAGGAACCTCCCACACCTGTTCCATTGTTTCTTTTCTCCATGATCAGAGAGAGAGAGAGAGAGAGAGAGAGAGAGAGAGAGGTACCTCATCTTGATGACACTCAATGAGAGAGAGGGAAGATGGGATTTCCTTTAGGCCACCAAAGAGATGATATGAAGGCAAACCCTCAACAATCTTCACTTGCCTTAAACCAATATCCCAACCACTGAATGCTCTCCCTACCTTACCACCCAGAGCTCTGCACAAAACCTAATTAAGAAACAAATAAAGAATTAATCTCTTTTGCTTTTTGGGCATGCAGTAAATAAAATGCATGGCATATATAAAGTATTATGTATAATTAACATACTTGGTGCCCAAAACAAATGCCAAGCACTTTCTTCTCCATGGCGTCCAATGTCTGTATCAGAATGCAGAGTCTCAGGACCCAAGACTCATTTCCATGAGCATCATAAGGGCTACCAGTGATCACAAATCCATGGTACTTATGGAGCTCCTGCATATCAGGAAACTGTCCATCCACAACTCTGAACGAATCCCATTGGTCTCCTTCTTCCCCAAACGCATCAACAAACACATTGAAGTACCCTCCATACACTTTCTTGACATAATCAGAATCTCTAAGTGCCAGAAGTAGAGCATTTCTCTTTCCGTTTGCAATCTTCATGTAGATGGAGAGAGAGAGAGAGAGAGAGAGAGAAAGAGGGGGTGAGGGGGAAGATTAGGTACAGGGAGGATAAAAGAGATCAAGTAAGGAGATGAGTGCTTATGAGTATTTGGGAGGAATATTTATATCAATCTCAGGACATAATCTTTCAGTCTTTTTTGGATTTACAGGAAAATATCTCAATGTCCAACCTCTGTTTCACCAGTTTGGTATGTTCTTATTTGTCACGTGGGTAATATTTTCAAAATTTACAACGCGCTTCCGAGCACTTTCTACATGCCTAACGCGGCAGTCTCAGTCTGGGTAACGCTTGACGCCTGGATGGTGCTTCCTATAGCTATAGGGATTAGGGACCCAGCAGGCAGCAGCATTAAGCCATTTAATTATGGATGGATCCTGCTTCATAGTTAATCCAGACTCAAATCGGTCATATTTATATTAAGCCATTTAGGCTCAAATGAAGTCTAGGTTTCCTACAGCTTTTTGCACTTCGAATCATACTTATCTGATGGGACACGTGTCATATATCGAATGTAAGTGTCAAATATCTTAATATAATTTTTAATAAATTTTTATTTTGTTTAATTGGTAATTGCCTTTTTAATGAGTAGGGGTGCAAATGAACAAGTCTGATCCTATTTTGTCGGATGTGGATATCCCAGATTTTTGGATGGGAGAATTTGATTAGAATTTGGATCACCCCGAAAGGATTCAATATATGTATACATATATAATAAGTTATTTATTTATTTATAAATATGTAATTTATAATACATTTTTGTAAAATTTTTTATATTATTTATTTATTTATAAAACATATATACATATGATAAAAATAGTTGAAAATTCTTGTATTTGTTGTTTTTATTTATTTAAACTGTTATATTTTATTTTCCTTTTAATAATTTATTGTTATTTTTAAATAAAATCGGATTAAATCAGATTCAAATATTTGATATTTTGATCGAATTTAAATTCGAATCAATATTTATAAGATTGGATTGGAACTCTATTAATGAATTTCCATTTGTTGCATCTTTTGTGCTGTTGTTATTTTATGCATTTGCATTCAATATATGACACTTGTCCAATTAAATGTGTATAAATACTTGGGCATGTAAAATTTAGTGATGCTGTTGGAAATTACACATATGATGAGCAGCAGATGAAGTAGGCGAGTTGGTGTGCACATCAATAATCAAAAGCCCCGAGGTGGTTTCCATTATTAAATTATGAGCACTTAAATCATTTGATGGATAATATCAAAGTCATTATTATTATTATATAATATTTTAATTCAATTTACTACTGATATATAATATCCAAAATATTAACAGATTAAATTTATATTTAAGTTATTTATCTATAAAAAATTTTGTATTTAAGTTTATTCTATTGTTGTATCCTATCCTTTTCAGCCCTATTTAAGTTTATTCCAGGGCGAGTGGTCCTCATATACACCTTGCTCTGTTCCCACTAGTATCCCAACAAACCTCTACTGTCCGACTAACCCAGTATTAAGATATTAAAATAATCCATTTCTTTTTATTTTTATTTTTATTTTTATTTTTGGACTTGTACTAGTAAATCAATAATATAAGTCCCTCACATGGGAAAACTGTGTCGGTCCTTATTTGTCACTCCTTTGCTCCACAATTAAATCCATGGACTCATTCAGAAGTTTTTTTSTTCACTAATTAAATCCATGGCCCAACATTATTTGTATTCATCTTCGATCCAGCATACATCGGGGCTTGAACAATAGGGGTGAGACAAAAAACCGAAAAATGGAATGATCGAAAAAACTGATCGAAATTGAACAAAAAATTTGATTAATGAAATTAGTTGGTTTGGTTTTGGTTCAATATTTAAAAAAAATTGAAGGTACCGATTCAGTTTCGATTAATCAAAATAGAAAACCAACGATATATGCTTCTTTGTCCTCTGTCTTTCCTTTTCATCATATATATGAATGTATAGAGTACGTAGGTTGCAAATGGTTTGGGATTATATAGTGCAATATATATTTGAAAAACTTCTTTTCATTTAAAATCTGTACAGTTTATCCTATTCTATTAATCTCTGTCACTTTGTCCTCTGTCTTCAAAAATCAAAAATCAAAAGATTTGGCGTATCCAGTTCATCTATCTCTTACTTATTGCACATGCAAAAAGGAACTTATATAAATACTCACATTCATCATATATAAAAGAAAAGGACCACCCATCAACCAATGCCTATCTAGTGTGGGTGTCATTATCCCGTTGGATCATTTCTTTTACATGAATAATTAATTCTCCTTTGATTTGTCGATTTCAATGCAGTCCAAGTTATGTGAGAGAAGCTATAGGATAAGAGGTTATATTAGGGTTGTTCATAACAAAATTCAAACTCATCAAACCGATATATCCAGTCTAATTCAATCTGAGTTGTTCAATTTTTCTTCATCACTGGTCGGTTTTGGATTATAAAGATGGGTAAATCGACGGTTCAGTTCGGTTTCAATTTTTATACATGAAAACCGAAATTGAACCGAACCGAACCGAGTTATATAACTACTTATTACTTGTTGGTTATTGCTTAACTAGGTTGTCTCTATCCTAGTTACAACCTAACTTAGTTTCTAGCCTTTTTTTTAGGATTGCCATTAATGGCAAGCATTGCAAGGCAAGGAATCTCTAGTCCTACTCCCTACACCTTTACTCCTTTAGAAATATTATCTTGATAGCTTCTTGCATTTTTTTGGAAAGGTTTAAAGAAAGAATCCCTACTCTCTAAGGTCCTTTACACCAAATAATAAGCAATGACAAATATATGTCCTTTTTTTCTTAGATTAGAAGTCTTCTTCCAATTACTTTTACTCCTTTAAAAATATTAGCTTGATAGCTTCTTGCATTTTTTGGAAAGGTTTAAAGAAATGATACCTACTCTCTAAGGTCCTTTACACCAAATAGGCAATGACAAATAGGTGTCATTTTTTTCTTCTCTCTTTGACTCTTATTTTCTTAGTAACTTAGTCCGCCCTCAACTCAAGCACTCTCACTCTCTCAACTCTCAACAATCAAAATTTTCAAATTTCAAATTTTAAAGAACCAGCCACAAGCAAGAAGGGACAAGGCCAAGTGATACTTTGAATATCACAAAACCGACCCAAACCGATTCAAACCGACCAGGTCGGTTGCTTAATATAGGGTCAGTTTCGGTTTCATCTTTAGGTAACCCGACCAGGTCGGATCGATTGGAAAAATATTAATAAACTGACCCAACCCGACCCATGAACAACCCTAGGTTATATATATATATATATATATATAGTTGGATAGACAATATTCCACCTTTGAAGTACATACTTCCCCTTTTTCATGATAAATGTTCAAAAATTTTCAATAAAACAATAGGCGTGGCTGAGTCATCCACCATGAAAAGGCAGAAGTACATGCTTCAGCAAACATTATTGTCATGTATAATGAAGAAGGCATGGCAATAGTAAAAGATTGAGCAGCAATACCTTTACAGACCTCCCACAACTTGTAAAAGCTTTATTCGGTACTCAATATATTAATAATTCTATTGTCAATTCTATATATATATATATATWTTTTTTTTTCTATTTCCATTATTGCGTTCCTTTAGTCATTATTATTTCAGTTGTATTTATTCCAATTGTATATTTGTTTTTATTATTGCCCCTCTTTAATCATTGTTATTATAATTGTATTTTAAACTATATATACAACATTTTATATTTTCACTATTACCCCTCCTTAACCATTAATTGTACCCTAATTCCTCTATACCTAATATCTCTCTATCTTCTATAATAAAAATGAGGATGGTAGTAATGTTCCATAAAAAAACCTGATTTCACTTTTCCTTTTTATAAGGATGTAAACGGATTGGATTAGATTCAAATCACAGTATATCCGGATTCGATTTGATAAACTATAGGTATGATCTGATCCGATCCGAAGATCCGATTGGATTTCACAATTATTGATTCAGATTTGAATTCGATAAGGATGTCAGATATCTGAATTTGTCCAATCTGATTTATTTAAAAAAATAATAAATTATTATAAAGAAAATATAATAGTTTACATAAAGAAAAACAAAAAATAAAAGTATTTCTTTAACTATTTTTATCATATATATAAAAGTTTTTTATAAAAAGTTTACAAAAATGCAATATAAATTACATACTTATATATAAATAAGTTAATAATACATACACACACATAATATATATATATATATATATATATATATATGTATATGTATATGTATATAATATTGGATTGGATCCTTTCGAACGTGGGTTATGCCCGACATAGTCCGATCGCTATATTAATTGGACCAGCCCATATCCCCGGGTTGTGTTGGGCTTGGGTTTTGAGGCACGTGCATTGGCATGACATAGCACAAAAAAGTGGATCATGCTGGTATAGGCCTACAACTTGGCACAAAACAACCTATATATATATAATAATTCAATTTTATTATACTATTTTATTCCAATTATATTGTAATCTTTTAATTCCATTTTATTATTTCATATATAAACAATTGTATACATCAAATTCATATAGAATAAAATTTTAAGTTTTTTTTTTCAATTTCTTGTCTATTTTGTTAATTTATTTTAACTTTTTTCATTTTTTTCGAATTTTTAATAAAAAATCATGCCTCTCACGACACAACTTGTGGCCGAGCCCAGTCTAGGCTTGTGCTGTAGGCCTAACCTTTGAAGAGTTTTGGGTTAGGCAGGACACGACCCACCTAGGACCACGTGTTAGCATGGCACGACTTGCTAAAGCAAAGACAACCCACAAAATTGTGTTGTGCCAGCACGACACAACTCACTTTACACCTCTACATAAATGGCCACATACAGTATTTGGTGGTGACTTATCTATTATTTAATGATTAAACTCATTGCAACATATTATTAGTTATGTTGTTGCCAAATTCAAAGGCTCCAGGAGTGTTCCCAGGGGTGAGGACTCCGACGTTTAAGTTAGTTGAGGGCTTGGAGTAAACTAAGGTCACCACAATAGAGTAAGTGCTAGCTCAAGTATGCATGTCGTACATTTAGCTGCAATGCCC